TGTGAAGCACTTTAGGAGTAAAGTTATAGTAAAGTTTGTAAACATGTGAATATGTGCACATTGAAAACCAGTATTTGACCATGCCAGATGTTACATAGTTTTTGTGAAAAGATTTTTTTTTGTTTTTTATTTGTCTCACGGTTATTAAAATTATTAAATGCGTTTTTTTGTTAATAATGATGTTAAATGCGAATTGAAAGATTTTTAGTGTTTCAAGTATGTTTTATATGTGATATAAGTGCTGTTAAAGTTGGTTAAATATTAAGAATAGAAAAAATGTTGTTTTCAGTTCAAAATATTACTTCTGCATACTGGTTCTTCAAAGTACGTTTTTGCACACTTGATTTTGATTAGAAACCTTAAAGAAACAAAGAAAAAATTTTTTTTTGAGGGACTAAAGTAGCAAAATGTATTTTGAAGATAATTATCTTAATTTTAATCTTAAATTTAATCTTAATTATTTTTTAAACATCAAAAAGTGCAAAAATGTTTCTTTCGAGTTCAAAAAATTACATTTGCGCACTCATACTTTAAACTACTACTTTGAACATCAGTTTTTAAGTAGAAATCTTAATGGAACTGAGATAAAAGTGTTTTTTGGTAAATAAAACGAAATAAATATATTCTAAACTAAATTATACGTCGAAAATATAAGTAAGTTTGAGTTAAGTAATGATTTGTGTATAGTGCTTCAAAATTCATCTTTACACACTCATAATATCACTATGAAAATAGTAATTTACGCAGCAATAAAGAATCACTCTTTAATTTCCATAAAATGAATTTTTCATCAAATAAAACGCATCTTTAACTTATGTTTAACCTTGAAATACCTATTTTTCACATTGCCACTGCACGCAATTCTATTTAATAATAATTTACTACCTAATTAATAATAAATGATAACAATTTTCATCAATCAGCATGTACAAATGATTATTTTAATGTTTATCGTTTTTTATCGCATTGTTTTGTATTGTATTATATTGTATGCATTGTAAGTTTGTAACCTTGAATTTACATCGTTGAAAGAGAAAGATTTACGCTTGAAAATTGTTCAAGAACACGCAACAGCCATGAATTAATGATCTCTTCATCGATTTAACAGAAGAGTATAGTTGCGACGCTTTTACTTAACAAATAGAGAGCTTTTATTTTTTGGTGATTACTCAAAAACTATTGCTCCTAATGGTATAATTTTTAAATTATGATATTTAGAATTAAATTCTACATCAAAATATGTTTATACCTTATAGATGTTATTTATATTTGAATAGTTATTGATAATTAAAGTTAAAATATAATAATAGTACAAAATATACACTAATTAGCCTGTAACTTATGATTATAAACTGTTATTATAACGGAATTTATTTTCCTAGGCAAGAATTTAATATCAAAACAATTTCTAATTAAATGATTGAAATAACTAAATTAGTTTTTGAGTAATTAATTAAAAACTAGCCAGATGCACTTATATTTATGCGTCTGGTAAATGCAACGCGACTATATAGCTTATTCTCTGTGGAATGAGCGGAAAGCAATTTAAATCGTTTAAATATTAAAAAGTAAGAAATAACTGGTTTAAACACAGAGAATAATGTTCAGGTGCAGTGTCGACTTACCTTTCATCTGCTCAACACTAAAATAAACTTACAATTACTTCTTCTACAAAATTTCTAAAATTCTTGAAAAATGGTGCTATCAATGGAGAAATGGCACGGGAAAGTTGCTATTGTAACCGGTGCTAGTACAGGAATTGGTGAAGCTGTGGTCAAAATGTTATTAAGACATAAAATGATGGTAAGTATTCCCAAAAATTCAATTTCACTGCCTAGACAATGAAAATTTATTTTTAGGTTGTAGGACTTGCAAGACGTCCACATCTTATTGAAGTTTATAAACAGGACTTACCAGAAGAAGAAGCATCACACCTTCATTCTATAAAATGTGACATGCGTCAGGAATCAGACATTTTGTCTGTATTTGCAGATGTTTTGGAAAACATTGGTCCTGTTTCCGTGTTGATTAACAATGCAGGCATTTCTCATCAAACTACCCTTTCTGATGGCGATACTGAAATGTGGCGATCTGTTTTGGAGACAAATGTGCTTGGAGTGTCGATTGCTACAAGAGAAGCTATCAAACAAATGAAAGCAAATGATATTGATGGGCATATTGTGCACAACAGCAGTGTTCTCGGGCATTATGTGGCACACATTCCTAATTTGAATATGTACAGTGCGTCCAAGCATGCTGTGAGGGCTTTGGTGGAAACCCTCAGGCAAGAGTTACTTAGAAGTAGGACAAAAATACGGATTACTGTAAGTAAACATTAGTAAATTATTAGTAAAATAACGGTTTTTAAAAACTTTAGACAAAATTTTGCCAGTTTTCATTTTTGAAGCGTTGTAACTTGGTTATGAAAGGTCAGATTTTAATCATTTAAACTTTAAATGATTAATAATTAAATTATCTTTACGATAAGCTATACATTATAGTAAAATATTGCCATAGAATGCAAAATTCTCTGTCATTTATAAAGAATTATTTTTTTAAATGTTTTGTTTTAGTTATTTATACGTTTTTGTCAATAACAACTAAACAAACAATTCAATTCTAATTAAATGTTATACTAGGAAAGAACAATTAATACCAAACATAATGATATCTTACTCAATATGTTCTGATTATTAGGACTTGAGAAAATCAACTTTAAAGTTGACTTAAATTTAAAACACACTTTACCATTTTGAGGCTCCATTGCATTGAGGTTAGGTATTTCACACCCGCGCCATCTATGCCACCTAAAACTATAAGTTTTTATCTTTAAAATAAGATATCATCCATATCTCTATCAACAAAACTAAAAAAATATTGCAAATTTTAAAATATTTTCAGAGCGTAAGCCCAGGACCTGTCGACACAGCTTTTCTAGATGACATCGGAGCCACAGATTTTCCCAAACTTCAACCGGAAGACGTTGCTGATGCTTTCGAATACGTCTTAAGCACTCCACCTCATGTCCAAGTAAATTATAAACAATAGCTAAAAAAACAACAAAATATAAATAATTATTTTATAATTTTTAGGTTCAAGATGTCATGATACGTCCGTTGGGAGAACCCGTCTAAAATCTTAAACAAACTTGTTTATTATTTAACAATAATAGTAGATTGTACAAATAAATATTTCATATAGATATTTATATCTATGCACACGCACATATATCAACAATTGATATAAAAATA